GGTGTTTCTGGCGAAGCCGACCTCGGAGGTGGTATCCCGAGGTCGACGTGGCTAATCAAGCGCAGTCGACAACACGTGGACGACTTGGCATCTGCGCTGTGCACGTGACAGGGCACAACACGCCAATCAACTTCTATCACCTGCGAAGCGGGTGCGCCGTTGTCCTGCAGACGTAGCGCTGTGCACACCGTCGACTTGCAACATTGGCAGACTGCGAATTTGCTTTGCTAGAGCGCGGTCGACCTTGCAGTGCTGGAACACGGTCGACCATGTTGCACTGGCAGTCGACCTACTTGCTTGCTAGCATTTGATGTAGTCAGTGTTGCTTTGCTATTGTCAATCATTGTTGTGAACTTTTGCTAGTGAATCTCTTGCCAATTTTCCTCGTAAATGCGTAGAGAGAACACAAGCAAACGACTAAGGAACGCAGAGATCACCCTCACAACCGTGCCTATCCCGTCATCTAGCTCTATGTTGTACGAGTTATCTCCGTATGGTGCGGTGAGCGTGGACGGCACCGCAACGATACCTTCAGTCTAGTCGACTTAGTTACGCACTACCTATTGTGTTCATAGGCCGGTAGCTGCGTTAGTCACCATGGTGGGCGTCGTAGGTGACGCTGGTCTAGTTGACACACTAGAGACGCAGCTGGCTGACACGAGCAGACGCCATGAGGCTGGCGAGTTCGAGCCGAGCCTCCCCTTGGAGATCGTCGAGCTGGGCATCCGCGCAAAGTGGGCGTCGGAGCACCCTTCCCGACCTGTTTCTCCTCGACCGGTGAACAACGAAGGCGGCAACGCCGGTGACCAAGTCGGCAACAGTGCGGAAGGCACGTCAACTATACCTCTAATCTAGTCGACTTAGTTACGCACTACCTATTGTGTTCATAGGCCGGTAGCTGCGTTAGTCACCATGGTGGGCGCCGTAGGTGACGTTGGTCTAGTTGACACACTAGAGACGCAGCTGGCTGACGCGAGGAGACGCCATGAGGCTGGCGATTTCAAGCCGAGCCTCCCCTTGGAGGTCGTCGAGCTGGGCATCCGCGCAAAGTGGGCGTCGGAGCACCCTTCCCGACCTGTTTCTCCTCGACCATTGAACAACAAAGGCGACATCGACGGGGGCGTCAACGCCGGTGACCAAGTCGGCAGCAGTGCGGAAGGCACGTCGAGGCAGAGAGGGGTGATGAAGTCGGCGGCGTTCAGGCGCGAGGATTGCAGTCGTTGGCGGCTGCGGGCTCCTCGCAGGGCAACGTCGGAGGATGTCGGAGCGGTGTGGCGCCGGCGTCGCCGACCTACGGCTACTTCAAATTCACGACCTCCTTACATGGAAGGAGGCCATCGAGCCCCAGCTGGAGATGGCCGGGCTGATGTGCTTCACTGACGACACCGTGGAGACGCCGCCTGAGAGCAACGCCGACCTGCGTACGGAGTTCCGTGCCATGCAGCTGTTGTTGACCTTCACGGTCATCTCACGGTGCTGCTCGCCGGTGGTGCATATCGATTTGAAGTTGTGCCGGAGCCACCTGGATGCCGGCCACCGGGCGTGGTAGTTCATAACGACTACGTACCAAGACACTGACGACCTGTACATCGGCCAGCTGGAGGAGCATCTGACGCATCTGCGGATGGGCGAGCAGGAGACGGCGACCGACCCCGACGACCATCGCACACCTCCGCAGAAACACGTCGCCCGGGTAACTCGGTCGACCGGGCAACCACGCCTGGTCGACCAGACTGATCGGTCGCCGACTTCAAGTCGGCGCCAACAGGACGGTGCCTCCCAGGTCGGCCTCGCCAGGTCGACTATCCGAACTCGGCGCCCTCCTGCACGGCGCCCTCCTGCTCGGCGCCCTGCTACTCCGCACCCTCCTAGGTCGACGTCGACGCCTCCCAAAGTCGACGCCCTCCCCTTGTCGACCACCGGGTTGAGTAGGCCGCCGGCGTCCCAACGTCGGCGGCATCGCAGTGGCCCTGTGTAGGTCGACCTCGACCGTTGACCTGCACGCCTAAGTCGGCGTCGACCACTGTTGCAAGTCGGCTGCGCCTCCCGCACACTCAACCACGAAGTCGGCTCCGCCTAACTTACAACCCCCGTTGACAGAAATGACGACCCTGTGAAATGTGTTGGAAACAGACACTGGAATGGCCCGAAGTGTTCTCCCTAAGGGCTACATGTGACTGTCTGTCAGAATCCCAGCCACTAGACCACTTGGATAAAATGACTTGCTTGTGCAGCGGGTGAGTACGCCCATAGCACCCCAGGCCAACGTGCCTGTAACCCTTCCCTAGGATCAATCGGGGATCTCCAGTGGACCTCTGACACCCCCCCGCATTGGGATGCTCGAGGTACACATACTAGGATTCGAACTCGAGACCTTCGCTTTGATACCATGTCAGAATCACAGCCACTAGACCGCTGGGATAAAAGGGCATGTTTGTGTAGCGGGTGAGTACGCTCATAACCCCTCAAGCCAACGTGCCTGTAACCTTTCCCTAGGATCTATCGGGGATCTAAAGTAGACCTCTGAAAGTGTCGTCCTGGAGGGATATGGGTACGCTGACCTACTAAGGAAACATGAATTTTTATCCCAGTCGATTAATGCTATCCCAGCATGTGCGGTGAGCGTGGAGAAGACCCGGATCGGCAAATTTATTGTGCCAGTTGTGGGCCCTCCCAATGAAGGGAGTGTTGGAAATAGACACTGGAATGACTCGAAGTGTTCTTCCTAAAGGCTAAAGGTGTCGTCATGGGGGAATATGGGTGCGTTGACCCACTAAGGAAACATGCCCTTTAATCCCAGACGATTAGCGGACTGGAATGTTATCCATCCAAATTGTGAAATGCGAACCGACTCCACTCACAATCTTTGCGAACCTATATCACTTCGCAAGCAAGTGGATCAATCGTCATTGTTATGCTCGGTTCGTCTCGCATTTGAGTCATGTCAATGCCACGATTGATCGCCACAAATTGACGATGAGTCGTCTCATATGAATGGATGTGAATTTTTGCCATACTTGCCAGTGTGTAATGGTTACATGCTGGTAAATAGGGTAACTGGTCCGAACGATCACTCCCGACAATCAATTGTCTACTTTTACGACGTCCTTAGTTTTGTCGTCTTGAACAGCGTTTTGAACAACAATGTTCCGTGCCCTTAGCTTCCTTTCCTTCCGCTCTCCGAATGAAGCACTCACTTCAAGTGCTCCCCTCTCGGTCGCATCGCATAGCAATCGTCCGCACTCACGACAGCTGCGTTCCGTCCTCCGTTCTGCTCCTTTTCCCCACCCCGTGCCTCCTCACCCGTCGGCTGTTCTTAATTTCCCTCGCGACGCGCCTCCAGCCAGCTACTTAATCCCCGCGGATGGACCCGATGCTCATGTCCTTCGCAGCCGGATTCTGCGGGCAGGCAGCGGCCGTGGTCGTGCGCCTGCGACCCACGCTGCTGTTTCTGGAGCGACTCGTTCAGTCGTTGCTAGAACCGAGGATAGGCCGCCGCAATACGCGCACGCTGCTGGCGCGTGAGCTGTGAAATGAGGAGCGCGGAGGGGGAAAGGGCGGCGGAGGTGACGCGGGTGGCGAGCGGGAGGGGGCGGTCGGAGGATGTGAGAGGCCAAGAAGTTGCAGGAGCGCGGGCTTTTAGGGACGGGTTCTTAGACTTCGGTACAGTTTAGGTGTCAATTTGATTCTTACCGTACATAATACCGTAGTTCTTTTTTTTTTTCCTCCCTACGCACCGTCCTGTTGCCCGCAGCGCGTGCTGCCACCAGTGGTTGTGATTAGTTTCATTAGAACGTGACTTTGAGGCAGCTTGACTAACTAGTAATCTTTGCATAGCAGCGAAAGTGGTACATGGTAATGTCTAAAAAGGATTCATTTAACTGTACATTACATTTCTAACCAGTAAACCTGGTAAACCCATGCTCCCAGTACCATTAACTAAAAACCTAGCAGATGCTCCATCGCACTGCTTATACGGTATGCCATGCCATGCACCCATGCCATGCGGCTATGCCATGGCATGCAGCTAAGCCATGCCATGCAGCTATCCCATGACATGCACTGTGTTGCAGAGTACTAGTGTGATTAACCAACCAACCAACCAAGCAAGCAACAAACCAACCAACCAACCAACCACACCTGGATTGCCGTACCCACCTTCCCTTCTAACATGCTCCACTCCCCACCCTCGCATCTACCCCACTTTTCACGTAAAGAACATATCACCACTCCCCCCTGCAAGCCCCTGCAACCCACACCACACCACCCATGCCACGCCATGCCATGCCATGCCATGCCATGCCATGCCATCACTTCGTCTCATGATCACACCAGCCTACCATCCGACCATCCCACCCAGAATCCAAGCATACGCTCACCACCGCACGTCCCATATAAGCTTCCCACTCATCCACATACCACCACAACCATGATGCCACTATTTCCATACACATGCACTACACCATGCCATGCATGCTACTCCCACCAACACCCAGTCAACCCAGCGGACTCACCCTAGCGGACTCACCCCAGCGGACTCAACCCAGCGGACTCACCCCAGCGGACTCAACCCAGCGGACTGTCTCCTACTGCTAACCGCTCCACATCTTCTGATACCTCCTCCATTCCATCCCCCCTCTCTTCCCCCTCTTCCTCTACCCTGCTTCCTCCCTCCTCCTCCTCCCCATAATGTTCCGGTTCTACAAACCGCAACCAGTTACTGGCCTGGCTCCGAAATTGCGCTGCATCTGACTCCTCCTCTTCCTCCTCCTCCTCACTCTCATTCCCCCGGCCCGCCCCTCCCCCCGCCTCCTCTCCCTCCCTCACACCCCTCTCCTCTGTTCCCCCCCCAAGGGGACCCCCAGTGGTACCTTCCCTGGAAAGCACCTCCCCTTCCGCCCCTTCCAGTGCCTGTGCTGCAGCACTAGTTGCCTCCTCCCCATCATCCTCCCCCGCAGTTACATCACTGCTACTGCCACTCACCCCTCTCATCGCTTCCCCTAAGCCGCCCCCTCCCAATCCTGCGCCCATGCTGGTACCTGGAAGAGCCTCAATCGAATGAAGGGATGTAGAAGCGGGTGTGGAGCCTACAAGTGTGTCACGACCAACTGTCGGTAAAGGATTGACCTCCCCAGACCCTGCTGCAGCATCTGCTGCTGGTGGTACGGTCAGCAGCGCAGCGCCTGCCGTGAGAGCAGTTGCAGCAGCCACAGACGCAGCAGTAACAGCAGCAGCAGCAGAAGCAGGTGCGATAGCACCGTGCAGTTGCTCTCCTGTTAAACTACTTCCACTAATTCCCCCCCCTTCTGGTACCGGCACCAAAGGTGGTGGCGGCTGCAGCGGTGAGCCTTGCCAAGCCAGGCCGAGAGGGTCGAGCGGAGGTGAGAGAGGATCGAGAGGGTTGGCCGAAGCTAGCGGCGAGGCATGGTCGTGCAGGGGAGCAGGTGTAGAGAGAAACGAAGTGGACGAGGAGGAGGAGGGGGGCAAGTCGTGCGGAAGCGAAGGGATGGACGAGGAGAAGACAGAAGCAGCAGAGGTGAAAGAAGACGCTGCGGACTCTACAGCCCCACCACCAGCAGAAGAAGAACCAGCAGGAGCAGCAGCGAGCACATGCGCGTGAGAATCAGCAAGACCAGAAGAAGAATCACCAGCAGCAGGAGCAGCTGTAGCAGAAGCCGAAGAAACAGCAGGAACCACAGGGACGGTAGGGGCGAGAATGTCTGTGTGGCCTGGCTCTCTCTCAGCGTCCACTCGGCGCAGGTGCAGGAAGAGGTGCAGGTTGACCTCATCGGCTCGCGAGAGAAAGGGGAAGTCGCCCCCGCTCTTGAGGAACGCGCGCGTCGCGTTGGGGTAGCGCGTGTACAGCGCGTCCCGCAGTTGCCCTGGAGGGTGGGGAAGGGATTGGGAGCGGTGTGGAGGGGTGTGAAAGGGGACTGTTTGCGTCAACTCAGAAGTCACGGAGGTGCAGGAACAGGTGCAGGTTGACTTCGTCCACTCGCGAGACGAAAGGGAAGTCGCCCCCCCTCTTGAGGAAAGCGCGCGTGGCGTTGGGGTAGCGCGTGTACAGCGCATCCCGCAGTTGCCCTGAGGGGTGGGGGAGGGGAGGGGAGGAATGGTGAGGGATTGGGAGATTGATGCAGCCCTTCCCCAGCCTCACAGGCGACAGCAGCAAAGTCATTGCAGCAGGGGTGGCAGGCAAACTCTCAACAGATAAAAACAAAGCCCCACACATCCCGACGCACGCAGGCATCATTCACGCACCCACCCAATCAGCCCCGCGGATCCCTGAGAATCATGCCTGAAACTACTCACAGGCGACAGCAGCAAAGTCGTTGCAGTCCATGAGAGTCATGTTCTGCTCGGGCATCTGCTGCAGCGGGGGCAGCACGGCGGGCAGTGTGTTGAGCGTGAGGCGCGAGGCGAGCTCGGAGCGAGAGAGAGAGTCCAGGCGAGAGACCACAAAGTCGATTGAGTCCGCTATCAGCGGCTCGTGCGGGCCGTCCCTCAGGCCTGACAGCACTAGGCGCTTTAGAACGAAGTCTGGCGCGTAGGGGAACCTGGGAAAGAGAGAGGGAGCGGGAGAGGGAGGCAGGCGGGGACAGGGAGAGGCAGGGAGAGAGGCGGGGAGAGAGGCGGGGAGAGAGGCGGGGAGAGAGGCGGGGAGAGAGGCGGGGAGATGTATAGACGCATACAAGGGTACATGCATACACTTATGGATGGATGGATGCAATGGTGCATGCAGGCAGACATGCATGCATGGATGGATGGATGGATGGATGGATGCATACAAGCAAGAACACGCACATGGAGGACCAGGAGTCAAAGGCAACGTTGAAGAAGTGCGTGTCAAAGAAGGAGTTGGAGAGCACAACGAGCATGGAAGGGTATGTGCATACACACGTGCACACACGTGCACACACGCACATACATGGAGGACCAGGAGCCAAATGCGACGTTGAAGAAGTGCGTGTCAAAGAACGAGTTGGAGAGCACGAGCGACAGCACCCGGCGCGGGCGCTGCTGCGCGTACAGCTGGAAGAGAAAGCCGCCCAGGGACGTGCCGTATAGATGCACCTGGGGGGAGGGGGGGGAGGGGCAGGAGTGGGGGGGAGGGGACAGGAGTGGGGGGGAGGGGGCAGGAGTGGGGGGGGGGGGGCAGGAGTGGGGGGGAGGGGGCAGGAGTGGGGGGGAGGGGCAGGAGTGGGGGGGAGTGGCGGAGCGAGCGGCGAAGGTAAGGGGAGGGAGGAGAAGCAGGGAGGTACAGCTGGAAGAGAAAGCCGCCCAGGGATGTGCCGTATAGATGCACCTGGGGGAGGGCGGGGAGGGGGAGAGGGGGAAGGGGGAGCGGGAGAAAGTGCAGGGAAAGTGATGGGAGAGAGAGGGATGAGGAAGGAGGGTGGGATGCGGAAGGGGGGGGTTTCGTGTGCGAGGGAATGCGTGCGGGGTTAAGCTGGGGAATGAGATGAAGAGGATAACACGGGGGAAAGTGGGGGAAGAGGGGGGAGGGAAGGGGGAGGGAAGGGGGAGGGAAGGGAGAGGGAAGGGGGAGGGAAGGAGAGGGAAGGGGAGGGAAGGGAGAGGGAAGGGGAGGGAAGGGAAGGGAAGGGGGAGGGAAGGGAGAGGGAAGGGGGAGGGAAGAGGGAGGGAAGGGGGGGGGGGAGCGGGGGGGGGAGAAAGCATACAGGTATGGAGCTGCAAAGACGCATAAACGAGCTGAAACAAGGCACGCATGGAAGGGAAAGCAGATGATGATACATCATCATACAACCATCCACCCCATGCACATCCGCCCTCCTTTGCTCCCTCTCCCCTCCCCAATCCCTCCCCTTTCCCTCCCCACCTCCCTGGTCCCTTTCCCAAATCATTCCCTCCCCTCCCCTCCCCTCCCCTCCCCCACCCCCCCCCCCCCACCTCTCCCCTTCCCCCCCCTCCCCTCCTCCTCTCCCCTCCCACCCGCCACCGCAGGCCCCCCCCGCTCATCCCCACGCACCCCCACTTTCCCCCCTCTCCCCGCCCACCATTTCGCGTTCGTCGCGCTACCTGGTGCACCCGGAGCGCGTCCAGAAACTGGTCGACGGCTTTAATCCACTGCTGGTGCGACCACACGGGCGGGGGGTCCGCGGCGATCACGCGGAAGCCCTTGGCGGCGAGCGCGAGCACCTGCTTGTGGAAGGCGTCCGCGGTCGCCGCCACGCCGCCCAGACACAGCAGCGGCGGAATCGCCTTGGGGCCGAAGTCGTAGTAGCGCCAGCTGCGGAGGTGCCAAGACGCGCGACGCGCGGAGGGGGAGAGTTGGAGAGCGGGGAGTGGGGGAGAGGCGGGGAAAGGGGAAAAGGGGCGGGGAGGGGGAAGCGGAGGAAACGGGGAAAGGGATGGTGGCGAGGCCCACAAGAAGGTGCGAAGGCGGGGAAAGGAGGTAAGGAAGCGGGTGGAAAAAAAAGGGGGAAAAAAAAAACTTTTAGAGGACGAACAAATGGGGAGCAGTGAGCAAGACGAAGACAGGGAGTAGGGAGAGTTGAATAAGGCGCGTGAAAACGGGAGGGTGCTGTCACGTGGCAACACACAGAGAGATCAAGCGACTAAAATAAAGCCCAAAGCACGGACACAATAGCCCTCGAGCTACTAGCATTCTGTCTGACAAAAAACGCTAACTCTCCTCTGCATGCATCGAAGACAGGGCAGAAGCTGGAACAGCAACCAAAGCAGGCACGCGTTAGCGCATTAAAGCGTTCAATGCTAGCTGTTGGCAGCTTTTCTTCATCCTCTCCGCGCTTAATGCAAGAATCGAGCGACAACGGCGGCGGCAACGGCAGCGGCGGTAGCGGCAGCGGCAACGGCAGCCGCAGCCGCAGCGGGGGCAACGAAGAGCGCACCGCAGCTGGTTCCCGACGCCGACGGAGATCTGGCGCTCCGGCACCGTGGCTTTAAAGTGCTTGTACTGGTAGTCGTGCTGCTGCCCCATGCCTGCTGCTCTGCTCCCCACCCAGATATGAACGACTCGCCGATCGTGCGCGCTTGTAGTTATGAATCAAGACGAGGACACTAGTTTTGACGAAAACGGAAGAAACGAGAACACGAGGAGACGCGGATTCGAGGATCTCAAGCTACTATTACTCGAGGATCCGAATTTTTTACAGGAGGATTTCCCTTTTGGGAACCGCCGCGAAACTTTTCTAGCAAGGATCGCTTATTCTGTAAGGCGAGATACTACAAAAAAAATTAGTCGACTCGAAGGTCGAGATACTAGATAATATCGCGATCCGACTCCTCTGAAGGCCGTCCCCACGGCCAACGTGGCAAGGTACGGCAGCGCGAAAACGAAGCTTCTGCGAAGTGCTAACAACCTGAAAGAGCGACGAGAAAGGCGGTAGCCACCTCGCCTCGTGCCTAGTGGTTACTACGACGCGAAATTAGAAGCTGGCTGGTTGTTTCGAAATAAAAGAACATCAAAAGACTCGCGCGCGGGTTGCGCGTTCCAGTAAGTGTGGTAAATATCATGTCGTTTTCCCAACGGTATGCAGTTTGTGCTGTGCTGGAAAAACGCGATAAAAACTTGTCTCGCAGCGGAATTGCAGGTATAGCAACTTTTAGACCAACGGCCTCAGCATCTCAGATAAGAAACCACGTCATATCATGACTACCACTCAGCAAGAAAAATAGCATTTGATGAACAACCTACATGATCAAGGCTTCAGCACATCGAAACCGGTAAAATAACTAATTTTCGTTCTTCTCTTCATAAACATATGTACAACTCAACTCCCCAGAACTGGGTGGCATGGCAGTGTGGCTCACTCATCTTCATCCTCATCCTCCTCGTCTCCATAAAATGTGAACATACCCGTGTCCTCCTGTCCTCCATCCTCCTTGGTCCCATTCCCTTGCTGCAAAGCCCCCAAACCCCCCAATGCCCCAGTCCCCCCAACCCCTCCAGTCCCCCCAATCCCCCCAGACCCCCCAGCACCCCTTGAAGCGCATCACCAAGCAGCACTTGCCCCGGAGCACCTGCAGGCTCCGCGAGTGACGGTTGTGAGGGGTGCGGTGCGGTGAGGTCTGCAGCAGCAGAGAGTGGTGACAGGTGGCCCAGTAGCGTATGAAGGTAATTCCCATGCGTGTTCGAGTGGGTTTGCATGTGCGAGTGCGAGTGTGAGTGTGAGTGTGAGTGTGAGTGTGAGTGCGAGTGCGAGTGCGAGTGTGAGTGTGAGTGTGAGTGTGAGTGCGAGTGCGAGTGCGAGTGCCCGTCACCTCTCTCCTCTGTTTGCATGGTCTCCTCTGCTTGCCCTCTGCTGTACTCCCCACCCCCCTCTTCTTCCCCCATCACCATCTCATCCTCCTCTTCCTCCTCCTCCCCTCTTTCCTCTCCTTCCTCACCTTCCCCACCGTCTCTCCCTCCTCCCTCTCCATCCTCTCCTTCCTCCTCACACATAGCCCATACATCTTCCCCTGCAATAGCACCGCCTCCTTCCCGATCATCCATCAACGAATCTCCCCTTTCATCTCCCCCTCTACCCTCCTCTCCATCTTCCTCCCTATCCTCCTCTCTACCGTCCTCCCTGCCCTCCTCTCCCTCCTCCCCCCTAACCTCCTCCCCCCTATCCTCCTCTCCCACATCCCCTCCATACATTGCCAAAAGCGGACCCCCTTCTGTATCCTCCCCTTGCATCTCCTCCTCTCGCTCCATCCACCCATCCATATCCCCATCCCGTCCCACCTCTGCCACACCCTCGCTCCCTCCTTCCCCATCCCCTCGATTCTCCCTCTCCGTTCCCCTTTCTACATCCCCCTCTCCAAAGGTTTTCCTCCCCACGCTGTCCCCTCCAGGCGGCCCCCATCCCACACCACCATGCCTACCACTATCTCCTGCATCCTCTCCTTCACCTGACCCCTCTCCTGCTCCCCTTCCCTCTTCCTTCTCCTCCTCACCTTCCCTTTCCCCTCCTCCTTCCTCTCTCCCCGAGCTCTCCTTCCCCACTCCCTTCCCGTCCTCTCCTACCCCCCCCCCCCCTCCCCACCTCCCTTCCCCCCTCCCTCCCCTCCACCCACCCCCCCAATCTCCGGCTTCCGCCAAACACTCCCTTTTTTCTCCCCGGTCAGGTACGCGTCTGCTTCGGGCAGGCTAAGCTCTCCGGGAGCCAGCTTGACGGGCTTGCGCACGGAGTAGCCGCGTGTGTTGCGCACGCGCGGGTAGAAGAGCGAGAGCTCGTGGCGGTTGGGCAGCAGGCGGTAGAAAGCAAGGCGGACAGCATCGCGCATGCGGGCTAGAGTCTGCTTGTGGAAGAAGCCCGAGGTTGGCTGTTGGTGTGGGGAGAAGGGTTGGAGGGGTAAGAGGGGGTGGGGGGGATGGTGGGGGTCGGTGGGGTTCGGTGGGGTTCGGTGGGCTTCGGTGGGGTTTGTCAGCCTAACCACTCAGCCTAACCACTCAGCCTAACCACTCAGCCTAACCACTCAGCCTAACCACTCAGCCTAACCACTCACCCTAACCACACAGCCTAACCACTCAGCCTTAACGCCTTGTAAGCAGCTGCGCTCGCTCGCAAGCAGCCTTCCACTCCCGTCACTCACATCACACGTTTGTCGCTCCGGAGGCGCGGCAAGAGTCTATTGCACGAGCGGCAGAGAGAGGTTGCAGAGCGTGAGGAAGAGGAACCACTCAGCCCTAACCACTCAGCCTTAACGACATGTAAGCAGCTGCGCTCGCGCACTCACATCACACGTTTGCCTCTCGGGCGGTGCGGCGAGTGTCTCTTGCACGAGCGGCAGCGAGAGGTCGCAGAGCGTGAGGAAGAGCGTGCGGCGGTTGGGCAGGGAGCGCAGCGCACAGATGTCGGGCCATGTGGTGGTGCGCGCCATGGCTGGCGTGATGCGCAGACCCCATGAGGCCGGTACTCGGAAGTCCAACATCTGGTATCTGTGTTGGGTAGGGAGCGGGAAGAGGGGGGGAGGGATGTGGGATGGAGCGGTAGCGGATGGGAGGGTGGGAGAGTGAACACGAACAGAGCAAGAATCTGCTATGGGTGGCAAGAGGGGGAGAGGCAACGGCAGTTGGGCAGGCAGCAGAGGGCACGATGGCAGGGTGCAGATATCGGGTCGGGCCATGCGGTGGTGCGTGCCATGGCTGGCGTGATGCGCAGACCCCACGAGGCTGGTACTCGGAAGTCCAACATCTGGTACCTGGTGGGTGTGGGAGAGAGGAATGGTTGGCCAGGTGTATCGTTAGTAAGATGGGTGGATAGGTACCAATGAGAGGGGGAGGAAACGAAACGAACGAGTGGCAGGAGGGCTACAACAGATTGGTATTAAGAAACTAAGGTTGGAATGAGTGACTTTTGAGGCGTCTCAAAAGAATGAGAGAGAGGAGACTGGCTGATTGAGGACAACTGAGGAGAGGGCAGGGTTGGTTGGAATGCGAAGGGCTGCAGTTATGTGCATTCCCAAAAAGTGAATCAAGTGGTAAAATGAGCTAGTGAGTGAGTGAAGACGGGCGGGAGGGGAGAGCAGCAGGGGCGGAGAGGGAACAGGGCGCACTTCCTGTTGTCGCGAGGGAAAAGGGTTGGTGCGCGGGTCATAGCCGTATCGGATCCACTGCATGCGGAAGATTTTTGAGGCGCCTCAAAAATCGCCTCAAGGATTTTTGTCGCGCCTCAAGGAACGGGGCAAACGTACTTCCTGTTGTCGGGGTTGGTGTGTGGTTGGTGTGCGAGTCATAGCCGTTGGGAATGCACTCCACTGCATGCGGAAGGGCCAGTTGCAGAAGTAGTAAGCAAAGCAACGCATAGAGCATGGGGATGCACGGGCCGCACACACGCACTTGCGATTGTCTGGGTTGGTGCGCGGGTCGTAGCCGTTGCGAATCCACTGCATGCGGAAGGGCCCGTTGCAGAAGTAGTAAGCAAAGCGCAGCAGCGCCCTGGAGGGGAAGAAGAGGGAGGAGACCGGCGGGGAGCGGAGAGGGAAACAGGGAGGATGGACTGCATGCGGCACTTTATGAGACGTCTCTGAATCCACTGCATGCGGAAGGGACCGTTGCAGAAGTAGTAGGCAAAGCGCAGCAGTGCCCATCGTTGATGGGCAGCAACAGCCGGTGCCGCGTCTGAATGAGGTGCTTGGTGCTTGGTGCTTGAGAGAGTTGCGCGACCACACGGGTTAGCCACTCGCTTATTCTCTCCCCCCCCCCTCTCTCCACCTATCTACACCCCTCCGCACCTCTTCATGCTGCCATCGTTAATGGGCAGCAACAGCCAGTGCCACGTCTGAATGAGGTGCTTGAGAGAGTTGCGCGACCACACAGAAGCGCTATCGAATTCACTTCCCCCCCACCCCCCCCCCACCGTTTCTCCACCTCTGCGTACCTCTTCATGCTGCCATCATTTATCGGCAACAGCAATTTGTGCCGTGTCTGAATGAGGTGCTTGAGAGAGTTGCGCGACCACACGGGCCGCTCCTGGAACAGCGGCCGCAGCATGCGCACATACGCGGCCTCCTCGCTTCCCTCCCGCACTGCCTCCCTCTCCCTCGGCCACCCCCGCAGCTCCTGCGGTGGGAGAAAGGGAAAACGAAGGAGAAGGATGGGGAGCGGAACGGGGAGGAATAGATGGGATACGAGGCAAGGGGCTGACACAGGAGGACGAGGAGGAGGAGGAGGACCAGGGGATGTGGTTGCACAGGAGAGGTACCTGAGTGGTGGCACAGTCAAGCCCAGAGAAGAGAATGAGATTCGCCTGTTGACTCTCCGTCGCACCAGCAGCCGCGCCAGCAGCACCACCACCACCACCAGCTGCTGCTGCTCCTTCCCTTCCCCCTCTCCCTCCCCCTCCCTTCCCCCCTGCGCCTTGCCTGCCGGAAGCGGCAGCAGCAGCAGGGGTAGGGGCAGAAGCAGCTGCAGAGGCAGAGGCAGGGACAGTGGCAGGGGCGGCAGCAGCAGAAGCGGGGGGAGCAGCAGGGGCGGGAGCAGCGGCAGCAGCAGGGGTTGGGGCAAGCGGGTAGAGCCCAGGCTTGGCAGCATCCCGGTTAATGTCAAACGCCCGTAACCTGAGCGATGGGGGGAAACAGGTGTCAGAGGTGAGAGAGGTGAGAGAGGTGAGTAATGTACAGGTGAAGAGCCATAAACAGGTGAGCACGCACGGGCAGAGGGGCGGGGGAGGGGCCAGGCGAGGAGACGGGGGAGGGGGGAGGGATGATGGAGGGGAGGGGATAGAGAGAGGCGGGAAGAGGATGTGAGATGATGGAGAGATGGCCGTAGACTGAGTGATGATGAGTAACAGATGTGCAACTGCAACAGGCGAGCATGCAGGGCAGAGGGGCAGTGTAGAGAGGAGGGAAGGGGACGGGCTGATGGGGGAAAAAGAGGAGAGGGGAGGAGAGGAGAGGAGAGACGAGGCGAGGCGAGTAGAGGAGAGGCGAGGAGGGGGGGCAAGAGGCAGTACAGTTTGTCGGGAGGGTTGTCCTTGCGCGTGAAGAGCAGAGGCGCCAAGGGGGAGAAGGGCGAGACCGCTGTAGCGTGCATGCAGAGAGGCAGAGAGGGAGAGAGGCAGAGAGGCAGAAAGACGATAGGAGTTAGCTCAGGGATGGAGCATGGGGTAGAGTGGGAGGTGTCGCAACCACCGGGGACTTGAATAAGCTCCGCTCCACTGAAAGCAATGACGGCGTATAAAGGGGAACATACAATGTGCAGCGCATGTCACAGAGGAATCGCGGGGAAGAGACAGGGTGAAGGGCGAAGGGCAGGGAGAGGAGAGAGTAGACTTGTACAGGGGCGGTGCTGCTATGGGAGGGGTGAACAACATACTAGACAGGACGCATGCGGTAACGCACCAGTGGGAGCAGGTGAGGAGAGGAGGTGGCGGTGGGAGAGGGAGGAAGAGGATTCGGCATGGTGGCGTGCGGTTGTGTGCGGGGTGTGCAGGGATGGCACCCACTGAAAGTCCGCCAGGGCTGCGGGAATGGGGGAAAACAAGTTGGGGGAACAAGGGGAAATTGGGGGAATTGTGGAACGTAGGGGAGGGGGAGGACGAGGCGTGGTGCCGTGTGCAGGGCGTGCAGTGATGCCACCCACTGAAAGTCCGCCAGGGCTGAGGGAATGGGGGAACGGAGGGGGTGGGAGGGGATGGGGGGGAGGACAAGGGGAAGGAGGGGGAATTGCTGAACAAAGGGGAAGGGAGGAGGAAACTTGGTGCCGTGTGGGGGAGGCATGCAGCAATGGCACCCACTGAAAGTCTGGCAGGGCTGGGGGGATGAGGGGAATGGGGGGGGGGGGGGAAGGTGGGAAGGCACCCTGATCAATGAACGAATGAACGAGTGAACGAATGGGAGAGTAAGGAGGTGCTTACAATCGAACCGGTACGTCTCTTCGATCCGTGCCACCACTGAAATGTCAACCTCCTGCTCCTCCTCGTCTTCCTCTTCCTCACCTCCTTCCTCCTCTCCCTTCCCTCCCTTCTCCTCTTTCTCTTCCTCCTCCGCCTCCTCTTCTTCCACTCCCTCCTTCTTATCCTCACTGCCCGTACCCTCCACCTTCCCTCCACCGCACTCCTCGTCCTTCCCCTCCCTGCTTCCCTTGCTCCCTTCATTCTCCGCCCCATCTCCCACCTCCTCTTCCTCTCTCTCCCTCTTCTTCCCCCTCTTCTTCCCCCCTCTCTCCCCTTCTTCCCCCGCGCCCTGCGCCGCGCAATCCGCAGCAGCACCCCGCAGGTGTCGCTAGCATCCCCATAAGCCCCGTGCGCGCTCCCCCCTCCCCCCCAAACCGCACCTCCAGGAACCGCCGCCCCCGCGACCGCTCCTGGGGGAGAGAGGGAGCGGGAAGAGAGGGGGAGGGGGGAAAGCGGAGGGAAGGGGGGGGCGGGGGAGCGGGAGAGCAGGGGACCGTGGGTTGGAGGTAAGGGGTTTGAGGGGGAGGGGTTAAGAGGCGGGACAGAGTTAGGGGAAGGTCAACCAGATTCGGGTTTAAGGGAAAGAGGGGAGAGAAGGGGATAGGGGCGGAAATCGTGGAGGAAGCAGGTTTGTCGCTCACTCACTCACTCACTCACTCACTCACTCACTCACTCACTCTCTCACTCACTCACTCACTCACTCACTCTCTCACTCTCTCACTCACTCACCTGCGCTATGGTCTCTTCGCCGCCCATGGTCCGCAGAGCGCGCCGATCGTCGCGCACGAATCCCGGATACTCCACCATGAACACGCGCCGCCCTGCCGGCACCTGACAAACCACCTGCGACACGGCATGCTCTGTTCCGCTCATCCTCCTCCCCGCCTGTCGGCGTGCAACGGCGCGTGCGGTCCGAGATCGTCTTCTCACGAAAAACGCGAAGCGGAGAAGCGGTACATAGATGACGGAGGACCTTATAGCGCGGATACAGATGAGGCCCACGAGGCCGAAGCGGCAGATTGTAAGCGGAATACCAGCATTATATCTACAGATTATATGTACGTTTAAAAGTCGCACAGCCGCGAGCAGCCACGATTCACGAAGCTAGAGCAGCACAATAATCGCCTTGCGAAGGCGTGCGACTGGACGGCGACGGTGTGGTAAACTTGATGATTGTTTTCCGATAGAAGCTGCCTTTTTTGTATTTGCGTTTGACAATCAATCGGCGGGTGTACAAACCATATCATCGGTGATTACAATTAACTGCCCTTTTTCCAACAGAATACCAACACTGCAACTTTAAAATATCTTCACTATATAATCCCGTGCTGGATAATGAAACGCAGAAGGTGGAGTCAACAAATAAAATAACGGTTGACAAGGAGATGACGGGGGTGCATTGTAAAGTACAAGAAGCAGCAATACACTTAGAGCTCTTGATTAAAGCCAGGGTCTCAAAAAGAGGCCGGAGGAGGAATAAGGGTAGCGAGAGGGGGGAGGATTACGGTAATGAGACAAAGGGAACATGGTTTGGTCAAGGGGAGGATGGTAGAGGCAAAAGCAGAGCGAGTTGTTGTACGGAGTTGATTCAAGCAGCTGTCTTCATTCCCTCCCTTCCCTCTCCAAAACTTTCCTCAATTCTCCCAACTGGTCCCGCCCGCCCTCCCCCACAACACCCTCCCCTTGTTCCCCAACCAACCCCGCCCCTCCTCCCCATCTCTACAAATTCTCGCAGTGGGACGTGAACGGTTCAATCAATGGCTTTGAATTTGGAAGCGCCTCGCAACCCTCTCTACTGATACGGGTTCTTGCAGTGGGACGTGAACGGGTCTAGATCCGGGAATATAATCGACGGGGCAGCAGCGCGTGACCTCCGCTGCTGAGCCCTCTGCTGCAGCTCCATCTGAGCCGCCACCAGTGCCTCTCTCTGTGCCCACATACCACTCTTATCCGGACTCACACCCCCCCCATGCTCATGCCCCAGCACTCGCGCCACTGGCCGGCTCAAATGCGCCGATTGCGACCCTAGCCCCTGCGGAGACTGCTGCAGCATGTGCCTGCCGCCCAGAGGGGACACCTCCCGGCCGTTTCCGGTGCAGTATGGATCGTCAGGGGAAGGGAATTGCTGGGGGGTGGAGCTGATGGCCTTGTGCAGAGACTGATGCGAGGGTGCTGCGGCGAGTCACTGCGCTCATCGACTTGCTTCCTATGCCCATGGAGAGAAGGTTTCCGCTGCCTCCCCGGACTGAAGCCGCTTCTCCTCCTGTGCTAAGTCAGGGAAAAGGCTGCTTCGCCGGTGGTGATGCTGCTGCTGCTGCTGTTGTTCGAACAGCTGCTGCTGCTCCTGCTGCAGTTGCTGCTGCAGTAGCAACTGCTGCAGCTGCTGCTGCTGCTGCATCAGTATCTGCTGCTGCTGCTGCTGCTGCTGCTGCTGCTGAAGCTGCTGCTGCTGCTGCTGTTGCTGCTGCTGCTGCTGCTGCAGCTGAGCATGGTGCGCCTCTTGAGCCCACGGGCCTAACCCATAACCATCACCCCCCAAACCATCTCTCCCATAGAGAACACCATCATCCGCCACCCCCTTTCTGCGTGACCGCGACCCATCACCTCCAATGGACGTCCCCACTAGGTCCCTATACAACCCGCCATCAGCCTTCTCATGCCCCGATCGCCCGCAGCTACTCGTGCTCTTCCTCCTGCTGCTGCTGCTACTGCTCTTCCCAGGATTCGCCGCCACAGCCGCAGCTGCAGCAGCCGCCGCCGCCGCTGCCGCTGCAGCCAAAGCCGGGTCGACCGTTGCCTCTGTGCTGTTCCGCCTGCCAGATCTGCTCCTGCTGCCGCTGCCACTCCGCCCGCTGCTGCTCTCCTTCTCCTCTCCTAACAGCCGCGCCGGCGACAGAAACTGCTCCCCATGCAGCCCGGAGGACCGAGAGGAGGAGGACGGTTCGTGTGCCGCTGCCGCCGCTGCTGCCGCTGCCATGGCTGCCGCGGCGAGCGTGTTCGGGTCTGTTGCAATCGTCCCCGTCTGCATGCTGCTCCGTCGGGAGAGAGACGAGCGCCTCCTGCTGCTGCCGCTGCTGTTGCTGCTGTGGCTGCGCGTCACAGCCGATAGCGCATCGTCGTCACCAGTCACGGAGAGCCGGTGCCGGTGCTGCTGCGGCTGCTGCGGGTGCTGGTGCTGCTCTTTCTGATGGTGATGCCGGGAGCCGTGAGGGGAGGGAGAGCGAGAGGACGAGGATAGGTGGTCGTGGTGGTGGTGGTGGTGGTGGTGGTGCCGGTGGTGGTGGCGGCGGGAGGGGGACGCGGACGGTGAGTCCACTGCTGTTCCAGAAGAGGATACAGACGCTGCTGAGGGGAGATTGAACGAGCGCCGTTGCGGCTGGGAGCGGGAGCGGGACATGGGACCCGGTTCCGACTCGCTGTCCCCGCTCTCTGTCTCCACCATCTCTGCTGCCACTGCCAGCCCGTCTCTCGACTTCGATCGCAGCATGCGACTCGGCTTGCTGCTGCTGCAGCTGCTGCTGCTCTGCTCCTTCTCCAACGCCGCCGTCGCCGCTGCTGCTGCTGCTGCTGCAGCTGCTGCTTTCTCCCTCTCCTCTGTTCTCATCAACTCTCGCACGTCTACCACCCCAGGAGGCAGCGCAGGCGACGCCACCCTGCTGCTGCCACCTGTCGCGTCCCCATTGGCTCTTGAAGAAATTAGGGAGCTCTTACTGGACGATCGTTTCACGGGGGCTGCTAAAGCAGGTGACATGTCCGGAAAAGAAGCAGCAGCAGCAGCAGGGCCGGCTGACGTGGCAGTGGATAGCAACTCGGCGGGATCTGTGGCGCGCCCGCCCCCCGTCCTCCCCGTGCTGCTCATGCTGCTGCTTCTCCCACTCGCCACACTCCCTCCTCCTCCTCCCCTCCCCCTCCCCCTCCTCCGCCTCCTCCTCCTGCCTGCCCTGAGCTCGCTCTGCTGCCAGTGCTGCTGCTACTAGCAAATTGCTCCGCAGCAGCCCTGCTTCTCGCCAAAGCCTCGTCTTTCTCTGCTGCTGCTGCTGCCGCCGCCTCTGCCTTTGCCACAGCAGCGGCTCGAGCAGCAGCAGCAGCTTTAGCAGCAGCAATAGCGTTGGCAACAGAAGAACCAGAAGACGCAGAAGAGGAGGAGAGAGAGCAGCAACAGGTTGCCTGGCAGCTCTCGCTCTGCCTCCTCCTCCTCCTCCTCCCCCTCTTCCTCCTCCTCCTCCTCTCTCATATCTCTCCGTCCCAGTCGGTTCCCCTCTTCCCTCTCCTCACTCCCACTGCCTTCCGACCCGTCCTCTCCCCTATCCCTTCCCCTCCCCTCTCCCCTATACCCTCCCCTCTCCTCCTCCCTCTCATCCTCGCCCTCCTCCTCCCCTTCCTCGTCCCCTTCCTCCTCCTCTTCCTCCTCCTCTCCACGCCTTGTTAGCCCTAGCCGTCCGTTTGCCACGGCTGCTGCACCGACTCTACCCCTCCCTGCCACCTCAGGCTTCCGTTCCGATCCTGCCCCTGCCTTCCCCTCATCCTCTCCCTCCTCCTCCTCCCCCTCCTCTTCCTCCTCCCCCTGACTCTCTTCTCCACTCTCCTCTTTCTTACCATCCACCACTCCTCTCCCAACCGGCGTTCTGCCGTTCTGCTGTCCCGCCTTCCCCACACCTCCTCTCACACCCTTTCCCTCCTCCTCCTCCTCCTCCTCCCCTTCCTCCTCCTCCTCCTCCTCCTCCTCTTTCGCCCCTTTTCTCCCTCCTCTCCCCTTCTCCTCTTCCTCCTCTTCTTCCTCCTCCTCTTCCTCCTCCTCCTCCTCTTCACTACTCGATTCCACGACCGGTTTGGGAGGGGGTCTGGCAGGGGCGGCAGGGGCAGCAATATTACTAAGATCCACAAACTGTCCCATAGTATCCTTCAGCTTCTGAAAATTCACCGGTTTTGACATAAAAGCATCCATCCCCGCCGCTTTGCACCGATCCTGATCCGCCTGCAGCGCGTTCGCGCTCACAGCCACCACGGGCGTGCGCGGGCGGAAATCCCCCTCCCCCCCCGCTTCCCCCGCGTCCCCGCCCGTCCACTCCGCCAACCCCGCCTTCTCGTCCCCCGCAGGCGCCCCCGACGCTTTCGCCTTAGCAATCTCCTCCGCGGGGAATATACCCGTGCGCTCGTACTTGCGAATCAGCTGCGTGGCTGTCAGCCCGTCCATGAGCGGCATGCATATATCGGAGAGGATTATATCGAATTTTTGCTTCTGCACCGCCTCCACGGCCTCCACGCCGTTCTTGGCGACCGTGGCTTTAAGGCCCATGCGCTTGAGCATGGACATGAGCACCATCACGTTCACCTGGAGAAGGAGGGGGCAGGGGCGAAGGGAGGAGAAGATAGAGAGGAAAATGAGGGGGAAGGGTACGGGAGTCTCGGAGATGAGTCCCATGCGCTTGAGCATGGACATGCGCACCATCACGTTCACCTGGTGGGGGAAGGAAAGCGGGGGGAGCGGAAGGGGCCGGGGAGGGGCCAGTGAAGGGTAGGGGTACGGAAGGCGCACGGGTGGAGCGCGGTTGAGGGGGACTGCACGGAAAGGGCTACGAGAGGGGTATGAGAGAGATGAGAGAGAGAGAACCTGGTTCAAGCAGCAGGTTCTCATACCCCTCTTCAGGGTCTCAAGAACCTGGTGCATGAACACCCGCAGTCACACGTCACCATGAAACGAGGGAGGATGAAGGGGTACGGTACGGTAGAGTTATCGGGGGAGAGTTATGGGAGGGTTATGGAGGAGGTCCACGCGATTGCGCGTGCACAGCGGCGGAACCGAATTTCCCCGAGGAACGGAGTAACGGAGTAACGTTCGGAGATGCGTAGCGCGCGGGATCACAAGGAGTGAACGCACGGGATCCGTAGGAAAACGCACGAGGAATGCGCAGGTTACCACGAGGGGACCACGAGGGGAGAAAGAGGAGAGAACCGCGATTTTGAGACGCCTCAAAAGCCGCGCGTTACACGAGCGTGATGGACGGGGAAACTACCGTTTACGAAAGGGGAATGGGCGGAACCCGGGGAGGGTATGGGCCGGGGAGGAGGGGGAGGGTGGAGAGGAAGAAGCGTGGTGCACGCGGGGACGGGGAATATAAACTGAGTGCGGGGGGTGCGGAAGAGGGGCGGGGGAGGAAGCGGGTAACGCTGAAACGCGCGCGTTGGGCATGGGAATGAGATTGAGGAGGTGAAAAGAAGTGATGAAACCTGAGCCCCGCGGAACATACAGAAAAGCGAGCGAGAGAGAGGGAGAGCGTGAAAGCGAAAGAAAAAGGGGAGCCCAAAAGAGAGCGAGAGCGCGAGCTGGAAGATATGCGTGAGGACGGAGGCAGCGATGGGACGAGGAGAGTGCGACGCGGCGTCTCGCGCGATTAAGCTCACACCGTCTCGTGTGAACGGAAGACGACAGATAGGCGTAAAACCTGACAAGACAGAAGGCGAACGCGAGTACGGATGAAACGTGAGGGAGGGAGAGGGATAGAGGGAGAACGGTAGGCGTCGCGCTTACTGTGTTGTCCTCAGCGACCAAAATCTTGAGGTCTGTGGGCGCCGCCATGATGGTAGGTGATTGTAACGAGGGACGATGTGGCAGTGACGATGAGGTAATTATATCGCAGCGGAGTGTGTAGTCCGTGGACGGAGGGGATTGAGGCGAAATCCCGCTGCCTTGAAAGGGAATAAGTTAGGAGGCTATGACCGCGAGGAGCACGATGAATGAGTAGATGCCTGCGCTGGTTAGACAGTTATTGAGACCCGAAAATAATAATGACGAAGGCAATAACGAGTATGTTGTTGCTGCATGCATTCTGATTGCGAAGACGCTTCGAGCTGGTAGGCACAGCAAATCTTAGACGAAGGTATTAGAGATTCGTGTAGGAAGTAAGGACACGGCGAGCGAAGCTACTTCACGCATGCGCTTCGGGATGGGTTCAGCACGGAGGACCGGAGCGCGGTGTCTACGTGGCTAAGATAAAACATGGCAGAGCGACATTCGCGGGGAGGATTGCCTTCCATGCGAAATGCACAGCCCGGGATGAGCAGGGAAGCGAACGAGCATCGCTTTGCGTTGTTGAAGCCTGCGGCGTGTTGAGTCAGATGGCACAGTAAGGAGAGGATGGTAAGAAAGATAAGACAGGTTGGAATGTGGATGGTGGTGTGGTGGAATGGAAGAAGACGGAATTGGACGAGCCACGCGAAAGAGGAAAGAACGGAGAATCCTGCTTGCTGCTATCAGCCGCAGTTAGAAATCTGGCAGGATACACTTGAGGAATAACTAGCCGAAACAAGACTTCGTCGCGCACACAAAACAGAAAAAGTCTCTATTACAGTTGATTCCAGACGTCGGGGCCTGTATGTTTTAAGTTTATACAGTGCATAACGGGAAATAAAAGCGACCAAAAAGTCCCTTTTGCGATGCAGCATGACCTTCCCTGGACCACACAGCCTTCCAGCCACAGTATCGCTCGGCAATGATGCAAACATCGATTACTGATGAATTGCTGCTGAGCTGGGAAATTTCCGCGCCACGCCTCCATCGGATGTGTGGCTAGAACGATGGGATGATGCTGCTGCATGTCCATCCCTGCGGTGGCCCCCGTCTAATGCCATCAATGCCTGCTTGCGCGTGTACCGCTATCCATTCCGCTTTGCACTTCCATGCCTCCTCATCCATCCGGAATCCGCCGCACCCCCCAATTTGCGCAGAAACACACCGCAAGTGGCGTCCCTCTTCCCTTCGATACTCTCCCCCTTCACCTACTGCTTCGAGAATTTCGCCCTGCACGCGTTTCCTGATCGTCGTGAAGTGGACGCGCAAACGTCAAGCGGAACGCAAAGCGAACATGAGGAAGAACGTTTTCTGGCCAAGACGAGATTGCTCGCGAGTCGCGTTTTGCGGATGGGCGATGCTTCGTTGCTCCAGTTCTGCCTACAGCGGACAAACTGTGCGACGCCAGCAGGTAAGATCGAGGGGTTTGGCGGAAGCTGGTGGTTGGTTCAGAAAAACCAATCATACCATGCCACCTCAGTACTGAGCAAGTTGGCGGTTCTGGATGGCGGCACTTGTTTGGCTCTGCGAATTCCGAGAGTGCAGTGGCAATGTAACAGCATGCTGTACAGAAACCAACCCATACAGCATTTAATGTATGACGCTTCATGATCCATGTATGCAAGGGGAGTTCAGCCCTAGAGGCACGGTAGCAGGCAGGACCAGGATTATGTAAGCTGGTATGAGCATTCAGATTATGAACAATGCATGCCATATGGGCTACTGAACCACTATGCAAATGGCAGATCAAAGAGAGGAAAGGAGTCTCTAAGAAGTAGCCTTCAATATTGCAGTATGACACAAGTAAACAACGCCGACAACCACCATCTATGTAACAACCAGCCTTGCCATCTGCACCTCCTTCCATACAATGCCCCCGCTTTGCCTCCTGCTTATTAATAGCCCTTAAAGGAAACCGAGGCCATGCTTGCAGGCCCATGCCTCTCACACCACAAATCACCATTTACCCAGAAACCAGTCCAACTGGCCATGGCTACCACTGCCTACGTGTAAGTACGGGTTGATGCCAACCAACTCCCTATGCGTGCCAGCAAGAGGAAAAGAAACCAAGTTTCACTTCAAGGTGCCTTGTGCCAGCCAGTCCAAGTCTCACCACCAGAGAATTACCGAAATTTCTCTAGCAGATTACCAGTCGAGGCCTAGCCCTTGCAAGAGGAACAGATGGTCCACTGCTTGGATGACGGGTGACAATGCTGCCACAAACTGCTTGGCATTTCGCTGCCATGCGTCTTCTGAATGATGGGGTCAGGATGGACAGGGCGAAGGTGGGAGAAACGAGGGGGGAGGAGAGGGGGAGCGAGGAGGGGGGATGAGAGGGGGAAAGAGGAGGGGAGAGAAGAAGATATCGAATCAAAGTGAGGCCAGCAGGCTCCCTGCTGCCACCCTCCACTCTCATTTTCCCCAACTATCAACCATTGCAAGTACCGGCCACATCACCAGCCCCTGCTTCTCCTCATCTCCCAACTCCCCACTCCTCTCTCCCATCCCTGATTCCTCCCCTCGCGCCCCTTTCCCAACACTCCCATCCCCAGTCGCCACCTCCCCACCCCCCTTCCTCTTCCTCACCGGATTCCCCCAGGAGAAGCAGGAAGGCGGGCGTGGAGGGGAGGGTGAAGAGGCCCGCTGCCACGAGGCTGCGAACCGGCCATGGATGCACGGCGCCAAACACCTCGTTATAAGCTCGCCCCGCGTACACTCGCAGCGGCTGAGAGCTGTCCAAGGAGCGCGGGAGAGGGATGGGGTGTGAGTTAGATGTGTGTGTGTGAGAGAGAGAGAGACGGTGAGGGAGGGAGAGTGAGTGAGAGGGCGAGTGAGAAAGAATGAGTGCAGGAAAGCGAGTGGAAGCGAGTGAGTGGGACGGTGAGTGAGGGCGGGAGAAAGGGAGGGAGGAAGTTAATTGGGAAAAGTTAATTTGATGTGAGTATTTCAACCAGTGGTTGAAAATGAGGGTGGGTGTGAGTCGGCCATTGTTCAACTGGAGGAACGGTGGGGGAGTATTTTAAAACAGTGCAACCATGGACAAGAGCGGGAATTGGGTTGCAACCTCACAGGCCGTTCTCCTTCTTTCTTCCTCCTCACACCCACACAAATTCACCCTTCCACTCCCGCCATTCTTCCCCTCCCGCCGCCCTATCCCACCCCTCATCCCCTTCCCTCTCCGCGCCCCATTCTTTCACGCGCGTTCCCCCTCCCCCGATGCGCGCACCAGTCCTGCAGCAGGAGCGCAAAGATGCGCCTGTTGAGGTCCAGTCCGCGTACCACGCGCAGCAGGTTGCGCGTATGGCTCCCCTTCACCCGCGCCACGCCCCTCCGCAGATCCTCCGCCATCATCTCCGCCAGCGTGTCGAATTGGCGCCCCGCCACGTGCAAGTCCGCCACCTGGGCGGAGAAACGGGCGGAGCGGAACGGGGATCGCGGGAACGTTAGGCGGAAAACAGTGTGAAGTTGGAGAAAGGAAGGGGGAAAGGAGGCAAGGGTGGGGGAATGGGGAGGAGGGGGAGGAGTGAACGAGGATAAGAGGGAGGAAGAAGGAAGGTAAGCGGAAAGCAGAGCGGGAAGCGGGAGGAGCGCGATCGAGGCAAGGGGCGTCGAGGGGCGACGAACCTTCTCAGAAAATTCTTTTCCTGCGAACGCAAACGCGGGCCCGAGAACCGAGAACAGCCGCCCAATGCCGTCGCAAGCCTCCGCAAACTCCCCAACGCGCAGGCTCCTAGAAACCTCCTCACAAGCCGCGGAATCCTCCCCATCACTGCTAACAGCAGAGTGGCTAGTATCGCTAGTAGTATCGCTACTACTACTGCTACCTCTGCCGCTGCCGCTGCCACTGTCGGCGCTTATACACTCGCTCGCTAAGTTCCCGCAGCTTCCTCCGACTCTCCAAGAGCGCGGATCCGCGGAAACGGCCGCGCGGAGTGTTCGCTCGCTGGCGCTCGACCACTCCGCGCGAACCTTCTGTGCGCGCTCCGCAGAGGGGGGGTCTTTAGCGTCGTCCTCCGCTCCGCTTTCCGCCACTCCGCGGGATCGAGCTTCCGCGGACGACGGCGCCGCGAGGGCTTCAAAACGACTCGCGAGTGCCTCTAAAGGTCGCGTCTGCTGCTGCTGCTGCTGCTGCTGCTGCTTCTGTTGGTGGTATTGCTGTTGCATGTACTGGTGGTTGCTATTGCTAACCGCTGTCACTGCTGCTGCTGCAGCAGCGGCTGCAGCTGCTGCTTCAACAGATGCCGTTGCTGCCGTTAGCGACAGCCCATCCACCGCAATTCGCGGCTGCTGACTATCGTGAACCAGCGCTGCAGCCATTCGACTGACTCGTGTCGGATCAGCCAAGGAATTTCAGCCGTGCCTTAGTGCGTTGCGTCAGGAGAAACGAAAAAGCGGGCTGGGTGTAACGCTCGCGTCGCCGTAAGCCTTAAGATAAAGGAGATTTGGCTGAAGCACGGCGATATATATTTCTTCTGAATAAGTACCGTGCAAATGGCCGATACTATGGCGCTGGCTCCAGTAAAACGCCGTTCTGGCCGCTCCGAATTCCTTCCGACCACCAGAAAGGCAATAATGGCGGAACAACGGTGTGAGGAGTCTCGTAGAAGGCACGAGTCCCTCGCTCGGTGGTGGTGCTTGAGGGGGGGAGGTGGTTGGGACACTGGGATTGGACACAGGACCCCACGAACCTTTCGAAAAGAAATACTGTAGGTCCCAAATCCCAAGCGCATAAAACCTGTACTGTACAGAGTGGAATGAGGAGGAGGCTGTGTCGTGTCGTGTCGTCTTGTGTCGTGTGAGCCTGCGTATGGCGAGGAATGAGGGGGTTGAGAGATGGGGCTCTGCACGGCCTGGGGTGGGTGAGGTAAGATGCGAGGGGATTAGAAGAGGTTGTGTGGGATGGGATGGGACATCGGGATGGGATTGAATGGAAGGTGGTGGCGCGCAAGCGAGATCAAATACAGCATGTCAGATATTTTTTTGTCTTGAATGTGATTTTCATCCCTGACCCGAATTCCGCCGAAAGGGATGGGGAACAGACGCGATGAGAAGGTTTCGGATGCGATGAGATGCGATGGGATGGGAAAGAAGATGCAATTCAGCCAAGTTGACTGACAACAAATTTCTCCGTGCACTGCAACCCCTCTTCCGCGCTGAAATGTTGGGCAGAATGGCGGCTGGGCTGATCACGGGGCAGTTGCCCATGTCCACTCCGCCAAAGAATGAAGGGGCGCGCCCATGGAGCACATCAACGCCACCATTGGCGAAGGAGGGTTGCGGGCACCGTGTATTGTGATCGTAACGGGCAGACGAATCCCGAACTACAGTAGCACTTTCAGGACTTCTCCAACTCTTATCATTTGTAGCAGCCTCGATAGTAGGTTGTATATTGATCGTAAGGAAGCAGCGTGTATACGACCATGTGAGCTTTGTCTAGACGGATCTTGCTTCTTGATTAGAGGCCAGTGTTCCCATACATTGTGATGCAGGCCATGTTTAGCTTAGATTGTGGGCCATTCAATTCCTGAATACTACTAGTACAACAGATCAACAGTTTCTTCCCAGTCATTTTGTTTTTTCTGCAGCAAAGCCATCAATGATCTTCAATCTCATGAAATGTATGTTATGGAACCAATATCCTGAACCAAGGAGCGTGGGGCCCCGGGGTTTTACTCACCCAAAAATGAACATCAAGACAATGTTTATATAAGGTGGCTGCTGCTGCTGCTGCTGCTGCTCCCACCGCTGCTGTTACTTTTTATGAAATGGTGAAGCAAAATATAACTGCTGGAAAAGCAGAGAGGAGCATTGGCAGGGCAAGCAGAGGCAACAGTGAGAGGGGGTGGTGGTGGTGGCATTGGTGGTAGTACGTACCATGGCTCCCTTGCGCGTGTCTAGAGGGCAGACAGACGTGTACTCGAATGATGCCCCTGGTGGCAGCACTGGCTGCTGCCCCACCACTCCAGACCCCCTGTTGTGGCGCCACAACAGGGGAGCAGGGGGCAGGGGAGGGGAGGGGGAAGGAGAAGGGAGGAAGAGAGAAAACAGAGGAGAGGAGCGCAGAGTGAAGCAGACCTGGGGAACGGCTTGAGGCAAACAAAAGGTAGGGAAGTTGAGGGAGAAAAGTGGTGATGGTCCGACAGCAGGGGCTTTTGCATACGGAATGTGGAGAGATGGGGGATAACAAACAGGGCGCTGAGAGTTGGAAAATATCACGTTGCCAACTCAAAAACTGCTCTGAGACAGGATCTTACATAACCTATTCCCAACAAACTACCACGTCGAATCCCAGTCCAATGCCGTTGACACCTGGGATGTTGCCCCGTCGTGTCTTGCCACCTGGTGTACCATTCTGCCACTGTTCTGAAACACGATTCTCATGATTCTTTGTCACCTCCCGTGCGAGCGCCCATCTGAACCCTCCACGCGTGCAATCCACACACGCCCATCTGAACTCCCCACGCGTGAGTGAGGAGAAGATGAGGGGCGTGAGTGGCAAGAAGGAGAGGGGATCGGGGGCGAAATGCGGGGTAAGTGGGGGGAAGGTGGGGGGGAGTTGGGGAGAGGGTGGTGAGGGGTGAGCAGGAGAAGGAAAAAGGAGATATGGGATTAGGCTATATGGGGAAAGAGAAGGGGAGATTGAGGGAAGAGAAGGGGGGAGATGAGATGAGAGCGGGGGGGGAACGAGGGGAGAGCAGGGGGAATGAGAGGATAGCGGAGAGGAAAGGGATGAGGCGAGAGCGGGAAAAAATCAGGAATGAGCGGGACAAGATTTGGGACGTCCTTCGGTCCCCCCCTCCCCCATCCTCTCCCCGCCCCCTCTCCCCCTCCCCCCCCCCCTTCCCCCCCCTCGCCCTCTCCCCTCCACCCACTTTCCCGCATCCCCTCCCTTTCTCGCAACACACCCACGTCTCTTACCTTTCTCCTTCCATTTCTTCTAACGTTTCAAGTGATAATAACAGCCATCATCCATACTGATGCGCCTCCGCTTAGTCACCTGCTTAACGAAATCGGCTAGGCGGTATTGGCGACACTCACGGGCACGAACGAAAATTTTGATGCGTCGTATTGGTGTTAATGTGTTCGCAAATCAACATTAATTATTCGTAAGCAAACTAATGCTACTACACCAGCCGCAATGCATAAGAAAATCAATATCGTACCGACTACTGGCGACTATACAAACATCGGATGCCCCCAATTGGCGGTGAATACTTGAAGCTGACGGTACTTACCTCACTACATCAAGTGACTAATAGTAGACTACGACTGATAAGCGCGACTAAAACTACCTACGGTGCAGAAACTTGCGCTTCAGTCCAACAACCTTTGCGGGATGAGAACCAAGAGGCGATGGTAACGCGCTGAGATCGAACAGACTGCTAACCAAGAAAGGACGGTGACGATGAGAAAAGAAAATGGAGGAACTAAATAAGGGTGGGAGGGGAGGATGGTGGATGACGTGGCGTGGTGGTTGTGCCTCCCGTGGTTGATTCCCTATTGGCTCGCGTGATTTTCCCTCAACCACCCCTCGCAATTTCAGCTGCCCCAATCCGGTTCACCGTCAGCAAAAGGAGTTGCAAGAGCGGTTAAAAGGAAAACTATATCCATAGTTTCAGATTTCTCTCATATTTAGCCCCAAGTTTACTCAAAAAGTACCTCTTTCTGGAATTTCTCTCAAGCGAGGCCCAAATTATGTTCAAAACTGGTCCTGCTGTGCTCAACTTTCGACACGTGTCCATTTCGCACCAAAAAATTCTCGACGGGGCAAAAAAACATAATACCCCTAGGGAAACCAGGACACTTTCTAGGGAGGGATCAACCCTAAATACGGGAACCGCCGGGTGTTTAGGGTTGATCCCTCCCGAAATGTGTCCCGTTTCTCTTAGGGTAATATGTTTTGTTTACCCCGTTAAAAAATATTGGTGCGAAATGGACACGTGTCGAAATTTTGGCCCCATAGGACCAGTTTTGAACATAATCTGGGCCTTGCGTGAGCGAAATTCCACAAAGTTGGACTTTTTGGGTAAACTCGGGAGTAAAATTGAGATATTTTTGAAACTAAGAAGCTGGCATGTACTTTCCCCGGTTAAAACTTCAGCTCGATAAATATTTTTGCCCATTTCAAGACCATCCCGCACCTCACGCAAGCCTCACTAAATAACTCAACTCTCAATTCAACAAGAAGTGTCACGTCAGTCTTCTCCTAAAAATGTATCTTCCTGCCCCAGCTCTAAGCCTGCCTACCAACCAGACGCGCAGGGTGACGCGCAGATCGAGATAGCAAAGACGAAAGGGGCGGCGCGAGCTACGGGAAAGGGTTTCTCGGCTTATTTGCTCGGATCGCTCAAAGCGGCTGTGGGTGTGGCTTTGCAACGGGCTCAGGCGCGTGTGATCTTGTTACGCGCTGCGTCGATGATGAGAGGCCCAGAGGCTGTTTGGGTGGAGCGGGAGGATGTTGAGGAGGAGATGGGATGGGATGCTCCGTGGGCGGATGCACCATACTTGGTAGACATGCGGGTTTAGGGAGTGGGTTTAGGGGGGGAGGTTTGGTTCGATGGGAGTGCAGTTTGCGGAGAGTCGCTACACAACGGGAGTGGACTACGGAGGAGGGCACGGGGTTGTGTGAGTGACTCTCCGCATGGTGCGGGTGATCGTAGCGCTATGCTAACGTTCTTACTGCTTGCTATGTTCACTGAGAAGTTTGGCAAGAATTCCACTAAGGAAAGAACAACGTGCATTAACAAAGTTGATAGGAAAAGAAAAGAATAGAGAGCAACAATGAGGCATACAGAAACAAAAGGACTAGAATGGCATGGAACTCCTAGCAAGGGCGAACTCTGCCAGCGCAGCAGAAGAGCGGCTCGCCAACGCTGCAGCAGAGTGACCTGCCAGCGTTGCACTGCGCGCGATCTGCCAGCACTGCAGTCGCAGGTGACTATCTGCAATCGCAGGTAACTTTCTACGGTCGCAGGTTGTCTATCTGCGCAGATGTGCGCACCTACCAAGTAGGTGCAGGTTGGTGGTTTCACCGTCAGGCACATTGCGCAGGTGCCAGGTAGAAAACGTGTCGTCGGTTTCGCCAGGTGCGCGCCGTCGACCACGTGATGCCGTTCCGCAGGTAGAACTTCGCCAAAATCTCCTGGGCGAATGTTCGCACGCCTTCGCAGAGTTTCGCGCAACTCTGCAGCTTTCGGTCGATCAGCTCGACTCTGCACGGTCGAACAGCGTTCGCCGCGCATAGCTTCTCGACCAGAACTCTTCGACCAGAGTTCTTCGACCAGCGCTCTTCGACGGAAGCTCACCGCGCAGAGATC